CCAACCCCCCAATCGGCCCTACCCTGAGCGTGACTGAGGGTGGCATCGCAACCTCCCGATCCGCCCTGCTCTGTGCATGACGGGGCGGCGCCCCAACTCCCCAATCGGCCCTGCTCTGAGCCTGACCAGGGGCTGCACCTAGGGATTGGACGTGCCCTCTGCCACCCGGAAGCAGGCCTAAGCCAGCAGGTCGTTATCTCCCGAGGGGTCCCAGACTGCGAGAGGACACAGGCCGGGCTGGGGGACCCCCCCCCTCCCGACCCCCCCGAGTGCACAAATTTTTGTGCACCGGGCCTCTAGTTTTAAATATATCTGAAAGGATATGGTTTTATATTTAATCTTTGTTCATTTTTAGTTTTACTGTATTTTGTGAAAGTAATGTGCCTCAAATTGTTTTTACTTTTTGAAATTTGAGGATTGGGCAATAGAAGGTATATTTTTCAAAAGAAGGTAAATTTTCTTTCCTTTTTTTTTTTTTTTGGTTAATCCCCACTTGAGGCTATTTTCCCATTGATTTTTAGGGAGAGTAGAAGAGAGAGGGAAAGACAGAGTAACATCAGTGTGAGAGAAACACAGCGATTGGTTGCCTCCTGCACGAGCCCCTACCCAGGCTGGGGAGGAGCTTACAACCAAGGTACGTGCCCTTGACTGGAATTGAATCTGGGACCCTTTGGTCCGCAGGTCGATGCTCTATCCACTGAGCCAAACTGGCTAGGGCAAAAGAAGGTATATTTTCTTTATGGTGCAATCATATTTTAATAAAATGATTGATCTGTCATGAATTGCTGGTGTCAGGGTAATATCGTATTCTCTTGTTTTTATAACTCATTTCTCCTTGTAGTCTAATCTATTTTGCTTTATGTATTTTATATTATCTACATAAAATTTTATGAAAATTCTATATTGCCGAGACCGGTTTGTCTCAGTGGATAGAGCGTCGGACTGGGGACTGAAGGGTCCCGGGTTCGATTCCGGTCAGGGGCATGTGCCTTGGTTGCGGGCACATCCCCAGTAGGGGGTGTGCAGGGGGCGGCTGATCGATGTTTCTCTCTCATTGATGTTTCTGTCTCTCTATCCTTCTCCCTTCCTCTCTGTAAAGAGTCAATAAAATATATTAAAAAAAAAAAAAGAAAATTCTATATTATGTATGGATGCTTTATAAAATACCCTGTTTTACCATTTCATGCTCACCAGTGTGGTAAAAGTAAAAAGTCTGATAATACCAGGTATAGTCAAGGTTTGAAGAAATAGGAAACTCTCAGTGCTGCTGCTGAGAGAGCAGGTTGGTAAAAACTGTGTACAGGAGTTTGGCAATATCCTATAAAGCTGAAAATGTGTACACTACAACCTGGTAATTTCACTTTTAGGTATGTACTTCAGAGAAACTCTTGAAAGCATATGCAGGAATATTTACTGCAGTTTATTTTCTAATAGAGCAAAAATATAAGTGGTGTTAGTGCCTAAAAGTAGAATGGATCACATTGTGGTAATTGATATAGTTTTGTGCTATATAGCATTTAAAATGAACAAGCTTGATCTAAATTATCAAGAGTTATATCTCAAAAATAAATGGGAATATGATATACAGATAAAAGTTAAATTCACTTGACAGTATAAGATAATGTTTATGAAAACATGTAATATGTACTGTATGTATACATAAATAAACTGAAATGACACATAGCAAATTTATGATAGTATTGGCCTCTAGAGAGTGAGAACAAAGGAAGCATGAACTTTATCTTAAAGTTTATCATCTGTAAATAAAAATAAACAACTGAAACAAATTATTACCCATTGCAATGTTCCTGGAACTCAAGAAGTATTGTTACTGTTCAGTCCTTTTCTCCAGGTTAGGAGATTATGGTTGATCGTCTTAAAATGTTGTTTATACTATTTTATATTTTCCATATTCTGCACAATAAAACATGTTTCTCCATTATGATCAGAATGAAAACTTTAATTTAAAAAGACCCCTTTGATTTCTTTTTTTTTGGAGGTCTGGGAGTGGAGTCTATGGGACACATGTTTAAAAACATTTTAAAATAAAATTGATTTCAGAGATAGGAAGGGAGAGGGAGAGAGAGATAGAAACATGGAGGAGAGAAAAACATTGCTGCCTCCTGCATGCCCCCTACTGGGGATTGAGCCCGAAACCGGGCATGTGCCCTGACTGGGAATTGAACCTTCGACTTCCTGGTGCATGGGTCAATGCTCAACCACTGAGCAGAACCCGCAAGGTAGGACACTTACATTTCACTTTGGCCAATATTTAAAATTTTCCAGTGTATTGTCTTTCTTTTACTCTGTTGTCTACTATTTGCTAATCTTAATTTTTTTTCTATATGGCTTTTCAATAAATAATTCAAACCATTGTTATGAATCTTATATATTGAACTTACTTTTCTGTTGTACAGGTTAAAGAAGAGATGCTATTTGAAGCGTTAATTATGAGGAAGACTGTGACAGTGGGAGAAAAGCTTATTTTACCATACAGACTGGCAGAGGTATGAGTAGATTTTCTCTGGATCAAAGTACTCTGATAATTTTTAGAAGTTTGGGTTGTGTCATTTCTCTTAACACAAAATGAAAATAACAAGAAAAAATGTTGATTGAAATATTTCTGGGCCCTTGAAATTTGTGAACTTTCCATCAACTTGAAAACTTAAAGTTGAATGTGATTTAAGGAATTAGGCTTACATTTTTCTTAAAAGCTCTTAATCTATTCACCATTCTTAAGTTTCATATTAACTTAAGAGATGATAGATATAAGTATAAATGAGCAATATTTGACCCAATTGATTATTCCTTCTTTTTTTAAAGTATGTTTTTATTTATTTCAGAGAGGAAGGGAGAAGGAGAGAGAGAATCATTGATTGGATGCCTCCTGCACACCCCACACTGGGGTTCGAGCCCGCAACCGCAACCTGGGCATGTGCCTTGACTAGGGATTGAACCGTGACCTCCTGGTTCATAGATTGATGCTCAACCACTGAGGCAGTTTCTTATCTTTTGGTATTTCAGACTCTCCTGGTTTATTTTTTCAGTTTTTATTTTTGTCTGTTTGCTTTTTTTTTTCTTTCGTTCTGACCTCTGAAAGATGGAATGCCCTATGACACAATCTTTATCTTTTCCTCTCTGTATTCTTTATCTAGATTATTTTACCCAGTCCTATGACTTTAAATATAATCTGTACAGTAAGGCTTCCAGGTGAGATTTATTGCTATAGTGAACCATTGTTGTTGTACTATCCAGGTGTATAGAAGTAAGAAACTACTGAAAATCTGATTATTTTTAATGTAATTATGAAAGTGATAAGAAATGAAACCCTATGAGAGTTATAAAAATAGGACAGCAATATGAGATTAGAAGACACAAGGGTGGGGAAATAATGATTGAACTGTAGAGAATGCTTTATGGGCTGATGTTGATCCATTTATCCCACTTTTTGGGTCCCCCCCAACTGTACCTACAAGTCTACATATTTTCATTATGTCATGTATCTTATGTCATATTTTATAATGTCCACCTTTGAGAACTTTTTTCTTAATAGCAGAAAAAGCCAACCTGTTTTTGGTAAGGTTTCATTGCTTTTGTATTTTCTTTAACAACTTTTTTCATTATAAAGCATTTTAACTTTAAATTTAGTTTTCTGAGATTATATTTATAGCCTCTGCTTTATTTTTTATTTATATTTATTTAGGGTATTTGTTTAGAAATGTGTGCTTAGAAATGTGCTAGGCATTAGGTATAAATGAGGAGCAGTCCTTAAGGCTTTTAGTATTTCATCTGAAGATAAATGGAAGTTTCCAAATAAATCTTCACTCTGGCAGCAGTGTGAAGAGTTATTTGGAAATGATTATATTAGTTTTGTGTAGCTGTGTAACAGACTTAGCCACTTAATACAATTTTATTATCTGACAGTTTCCAAAATCATGTCTGGGCACAGGTTAGGTGGGTACTCTGCTCAGGGTTTCACCAGGTTGAAGTCAAGATGTATGTCAGGGCTGTGTTCTCATCTGAGACTCAACATCTGCTTTCAAGTTCACAGGTTGTCAACAGGATTCAGTTTGTTGCAGTTGTAGGACTGAGACCCTGAATTTCTTGTTGGCTGTCAAGAGCCATTCTCAGCAGCTAGAGTCCTGTTCACAACATAGCAGTTTGCTTCTTCAACGCCAGCAGGAGAATTTCTAATGAAAGAAATCAGTTTCTTTTAAGAGTTTTCTCTGATTAAGTCAGTTCTATCCAGGATGATCTTCCTATGATTAAGTAAAAAAATAAAAAATAAAAAAAATCAGCTGATTTGGGGCCATAATGAAATCTTTAAAATCTCTTCATCTTTGTCATATAATATATGACAGTTAGTGCAATGAAATCCATCATAGTTACAGTCTTGCTCACACTTAGGTTCTGTACGTGTGATATAGAACATGTACAGCAGGAGATGGGAATCTTGGGGATCATTTTAGGATTAGGAAACAAGGCAAGAGTGAATATAGAAAGATTAATTTGGAGGCTATATTAGTACTGAGGAGAAAGGTGTTTGCTGCTTTGTCTAGAATGGTAAGATACTTGTAGGGACAAATCATTATAGTTAAAATGAAAGAAATTTAGATGGTGAAACCAACAGGATCTGTCAATGATTTGCTAAATGGGAGGCAAGGAGGAAGAAATAATGTCAAGGATGAATCCTAATTTTATGGTTCACACAACTATTAAGAATATTGGTATTATTCAGTGAGATAGGAAACACTAAATGAGATCTTGTTTGTGTGGGAAAATATTAATTGATATTGGGCTTATTGAGATTAAGCTGTGATAGGCAGGACTGCATTTCAAAAAATAGGGGCTGAAAGTATAATATTGGGAGTTGTGGGGTTAATAAGTATTGGTATACTTTGGTAAATCTGGATTCTATTTAACTACATTTTATGAAAATAGTATCTAACTCTAAACCATAAATAGGTGGGTCTTAGTTTTTAATTTAATATGAAGGTCAGTCTTTTAACTAAAAAATTAACCCATTTATATTTAATGGGTTGAAATAACCAATATTTTGTCTTCTCTTTTTTTTTGTATCTTGCTTGTTTATTTAGATTTAAAATGTTTTACTTTTGCTGAATATGATCAAATTATCTTTATTCCCTTTTCTCCTCTGGGAAAAATAGAATGGCAATTCTTTCTAGATATTCTATTGTTATTTTATTAGTATTTTAAAGATACTCTGTTGATAACTTGCATAAGTATAGAATTCTAGGGACACATTCCTTTTACTCTGAGAACTTGTAAATATTTTCCAATTATTTTCAAATTGATAATGTTAAAGATAGAGAATTTGATACCTGTCTTCTCTTTGGTAGTAGTTTTTAGGTAGCAGTAATATTTTTGGCTAGAACTTGAAGCTTTCTTTTTTTTTCAACTGAAATTCAGAAATTCCGTTATCATCTGTATGATATCTATTTTGCAAATATGTAAGCTGTAGCCTAAGAGTTTAAATAATTTGACTAAGGTCACACAACTAGAATAAGTAGAGAATTTGGTATTGGAAGGTAGTCGAGCTATTAATCATTACTCTTTACTTCCTCTAAACTACAGAACTGAATATAAATGTGTACCTGAATATACAATCTTCAAAATAAGTCCCTAGGTGATAACTATATAAATAATTGTATTCTAAGTGCTAGGACTCAAGATTATCTAAGACATATGTCCCCCCCCTTTAGGTTGTAGTACTTTTTTTTATTTTGAAAAAAATATGTTTTTATTGATTTTTTTTTTTTGAGAGAGAGAGAAGGGGACAGGGGTAGAGAAATAGAAGCATTGATGAGAGAGAAGCATCATCAATTGGTTGTCTCCTGTACACTCCATACTGGGGATGGAGCCCACAACCTAGACTTGAACCAGTCACCTCTTGGTTCATGGGTTGATACTCAACCACTGAGCCACACTGGCTGGGTGGTTGTAGTACTTTTAAAATGTTGAATTTTCTTTAACTAGTAGACTTTGTGTTTTAGAACAATTTCAGATTTACAGAAAAATTGAGCAGTTAGTCTAGAGTTTCCATAAACTGGGAAAGTTTGAAATGAGGGAAAAATAAATTGTATAACTCCGTAATGAAAGAATTGTTACTCTGTGTAGGGATGGAGAAATTCTAGAAGTTACTCTTGATGACAAGCTGACGATAACCAGGAATGTAGCTGTAGTAATATGGTTATGTTTTAAGAATCTGACTGGGATCCTGCACATAATTGATGGCCTTTTTGCTAACAGATTTATTGCTTTGCTTGGAATACTCTTCCTCACTTTAGATGGCAAGGTTATTTATTTGTAAACTTCCTGTTATACCTTCTTTACCGGGTGGAAAAAAATGTGTGTGTATATATATACATACACACATACACATACATTAATTTTCAGTAAAACTATTTTGAACTGAATAACCTTCATTTTTCCTTATTTTTCAAGACAGTTTTAGCCTAGATTCTTTGAGTTGGACTAAATCAATGAATGTATATAGAAAACTTATAGCTTATTATAATTAGAGGTATTTATATTGAGAGAAAACTTAATTTTGAATTCATGCTAGTAAACTTTTTTTCTTTAATGAGAGCAAAACACACTTTGTTATAATATCTTAGTTAGATTATTGCTAATTTCACTTGTATTCGTAACCCTTTCTTTTTTTTTTTCAGGCTGTGACAGTGAGGAATTCCATGGCTAAGTCTTTATATAGTGCCCTATTTGACTGGATAGTTTTTCGGATTAATCATGCACTTCTGAATAGTAAAGATTTGGAGCAAAATACCAAGGTAGACATACATAAATTATATATTTTTACTAGAAAACGGTTTTAATAAAATGGTTAATACATTAAATTTAAAAAGACAGAGTTATGTAAAAGTCATAAGTAAGAGTCATCTTTTATTTCTATTCCCTGCTGTTTTCTTCCTTATTTCTGTTTTTATTATCCTGTGTAGAGGAGGTGTTAATCTGTGTCTTTTTTCTTATGTACTTACATTCCTATAAATGTGCATATAGAGTTGCTTTTAAACATAAAAATACAATTATGATATTGTCATTGTAAGAAATGTCCTAACCTGTTGTGGATTTCTATGAGCTAATTTGAGCCAAACTGACAATATATACTGGAGAGCAGCAGGATCTCAAGTACTGTGGAGAATAATATTTTTTGCAGTTTCTTTTATGCATTTGAAATTAGGAGGGAACTTAGGAAGATTACCTAAAGGTGGGAGGAGCCAACAGAATAGTTAAGATTATGTGCTCTCTTGAGAGTTAATACCACCTTCGAGGGTTATTGCTTCTGTTTTTTCAAAGGTGTGTTAACCTAGATGCACTGGAACAGTGGACATGGCTGGCTTAAAGCTTTTCACCAAAGAGGTTGTAGGCCTGGGACATGACTACCCACAATGAACTGCCTAGTTAGGAATTCATGAGAAGATCACCCTGTGAGGTTACTTCCCACAGAACCCCCCATTTTGTCCACATTATCTATATTGCGTCTATGTATGTGTTTTTTTAAACCTAGCATGTCTTGAAATATAGCTATACCTCATTGTTTTATTTTTATTTTTTTAAATATATTTTTATTGATTTCAGAGAGGAAGGGAGAGGAAGAGAGAGATAGAAACATCAATGATGAGAGGGAATCATTGATTGGCTGCCTTCTGCATGCTGGACCGAGCCCACAACCCAGGCATGTGCCCTTGACCGAATTGAACCTGGGACCCTTCGGTCCGCAGACCGATGCTCTATCCACTGAGCCAAACCAGCCAGGGCCTCATTGTTTTATTTTTATTGAATTTATTATGGTGACATTGGTTAATAAAATTATAAGGTTTCAGGTGTGCAATTCTATAATACATCCTGTGTATATTTATTCTGTTTACCACCACACATCAAGTCCCCTTCCATCACCATTTATCCCCCCCTTAAACCCTCTTTTACCTCCTCTATCCTCCTTTTTCTTTGGCAATCACCATAGTGTTGTCTGTGTCTATGAATTGTTGTTTTGTTTTGTTTTTTATTAATCCCTTCACCTTTTTCACCTGGCCCCTAAACCCCCCTCCCTCTGACAGTTTTCAGTCTGTTCTCTGTACCAATGTGTACCTCATTTTTATCAACTTTGTAATATATAGTTTGGATGTGTACCATAAATTCCCCCATTAAAAATATATTACATTTTTTATTGTTAAATAATAATGTAACAAATATTCTTTGCATACATTTCTCTAGGACAAAATCCTCAAAATGAATTGCTGGATTCAAAGATATATATGTTTAAAATTTTGGTAGATGCTGCTAAATTGCTTTTCAAAAAAATACTACACTTCCACCAGTAGTGCATAAAAGTGCTTATTTCCCTGCTACACCTTTAGTCACATTGGATATTCTCAGAATTTCCATTAGGCTAATCTGACAAGGAAGATAGTTCATTTTGTTGTCAATGTTTATGATAGATGAAAGGTGAGCATCTCATGTTTTCTCTGTTTTATTTCTTTTCTTTATTTCTTTATATATTTTTCCTATTTTTGTTGTTCATTTTATCTTTTTGTTACTCCTTTTTAGGAGTCATTGTGGATATTGCAGAGATTTATAGTTTGACGTACATTGCAAACATTTTCTCTTTACTTTAAAGATTTGTTTATGTTGTGTTTTTTGAAGTCCTTATGTTTTAAATTTTTGTACAGTTCTGTCATTCTTTTCTTTTATTGTCCTGGACTTTATTTATTTATTAATTTATTTAACATTGGAAGTCCTCTTCCAGCCCAAATTATAAAATATTTATTCTCATACATTTAGAATATAATTTTTTATATTCAGACCTTTTTTCCAATTGGAATTTACTTTTAACATGGCAGATTTTTGATACTTAATTTTAATAACTTCAATTTCATTTCCTAACAACTTTTTTTAAAAATATATCTTATTGATTTTTTTACAGAGAGGAAGGGAGAGGGATAGACAGAAACATCGATGAGAGAGAAACATCGATGAGAGAGAAACATCGATCAGCTGCCTCCTGCACACTCCCTACTGGGATGTGCCCGCAACCAAGGTACATGCCCTTGACCGGAATCGAACCTGGGACCCTTGAGTCTGCAGGCCGACGCTCTATCCACTGAACCAAACTGGTTAGGGCAACTTTTATGGAATGAATAGTCTACCTTTTCAGGCTGATTAGAAATGTCATCTTTAATCCTCCTCTTCCTGGGGAGATCAGGTGTGTTGTCTCTGTCCCTATAATGTACTGAGGCAGAAGGACAGGGCACCAGCCCCCTTGGGGTCATGTCTTTGGTGCTGGTGGCTTCCAGTCTGCAGGTTCTATCCTCAAGCTCTGGGACACAGGGAAAAGATAAAAGAAATGTCATCTTTATTACTTAATTTGATTATTTTAAATGTAAAATTGCTTTTATATGAACTTTTCAGGCTTTATGTGAGCCCACAGAATATTAATTTTAAATGTAATCCAACTTACCAAATTAACTTATTTTTGAAGGTCATTATTTTCATAAGGGCTTAGAATTAGTCAACAGAATTAATCAAACAAAATACTTTCTTTTTTTAAAACATATATTTTATTGATTTTTTACAGAGAGGAAGGGAGAGGGACAGAGAGTTAGAAACATCGATGAGAGAGAAACATTGACTAGCTGCCTCCTGCACACCCCCTACTGGGGATGTGCCTGCAACCAAGGTACATGCCCTTGACCGGAATCGAACCTGGGACCCTTGAGTCTGCAGGCTGACGCTCTATCCACTGAGCCAAACTGGTTAGGGCCAAACAAAATACTTTCATTTTGGGGGTTTGAGGGGACAGTAGGAAGTAGATCTGAATTTTATTGATTTAGGTACTTATGGAAAACAAAATACTCTTTTTTTAAAATTTTTTTAAAAATATATTTTATTGATTTTTTACAGAGAGGAAGGGAGAGGGTTAGAGAGTTAGAAACATTGATGAGAGAGAAACATTGACTAGCTGCCTCCTGCACACCCCCTACTGGGGATGTGCCCGCAACCAAGGTACATGCCCTTTCAGTCTGCAGGCCAATGCTCTATCCACTGAGCCAAACCGGTTAGGGCAAACAAAATACTCTTAATGGAAACTTTAAAAATACCTCTCACTATCACTCATTACATCATTTTGCCTAGTATCACTCTTAGCACCAGTGGAGAAAAATTATTTTCATTTAACCAAAATTGTCATACAACTGTATTTCAAGAATGAGGTGGAGTGGTGAGAAGAATGTTGGTATGGGGGTATTAGAGTTAAATCCCTATCATCCATAGTAAGTAGTTAGAAGATAATTTCTATAAGTGAAATATCAAGAAATAGAAAAATAAGCACTTGTATACTATACTATACTATTCTATACTATACTATACTATACTATACTATACTATACTATACTATACTATACTATACTATTCCATACCAAACAGCTCAACAATTTGAGTGTTGTTGATATTAGGGTGCAGAAATTGAGGATGAAGAATATATTGTTTTTTTGTTATAATCCTTTTAGAACTATTTAACATTATAATCCTTGTACAATGTTTTTTTTTAATCCTCACCCGAGGATATTTTTTCCATTGACTTTTAGAGAGAGTGGAAGGGAGAGGGAGAGACAGAGAGAAACATCGATTGGTTGCCTCCCGCCCCTGTCTAGGGGCTGGGAGCCTGCAACCGAGGTACGTGCCCTTGACCGGAATCGAACCCGGGACCTTTCAGTCCGCAGGCCAATGCTCTATCCACTGAGCCAAACCGGCTAGGGCCACAATGTTTTTTGTTTTGTTTTTTATAAAAAATTTAAAAATTTTTAACTTCAAGAAACCACATATTCTGATAGTCAGTTTTATTTCTAGCTTGCACAAGGCTGATTAAACATCCTTGTTAGCTTGGTTTTTAAAGCAGGATTCTATTGGAATATGGAAGTCAAAGTAGGAAAAATTGCATGGCCCTCTTGGTATAAAAACAAGGCATAGCCAGTAGTGACCTAGTAGTACTTAAGTAATTTTTTGAATTCCCCATAGCCTGTTATTTCCATTCTCTTGTCTCTTGGAGTTGAGGAATTTCTGAGATTGAGATAACTGGCCAGTGTCCCTGCTTTGTACATTTCTGTATAATAATCAGTGGGTTACGTGTGTTAAAATTTTGGATTAAAAAAAATAATTAGGATAAAAAGAAAAAGATGAAACTAAAGAGAACTAAAATGCTTTTTATTTATGGTATAATTTGGTTCAACATTGGCCCCCAAAACCTACTCTCCAGTGCTGAAAAAGAACTTTGAGCATTTTGTTTCTTACTGTAAATATTATTTATGAAATAAATTTGAGCATCATTTTTTCAACCATAATTTTTTTCCTGCTTTGTAGACTTTGTCAATTGGTGTTCTTGATATTTTTGGCTTTGAAGATTATGAAAATAATAGCTTTGAACAGTTCTGCATTAATTTTGCTAATGAACGTTTACAACACTACTTTAATCAGCATATCTTTAAACTGGAGCAGGTGAGTACCTAAGTGCATGTATGTTTGCCCCCCCGCCACTCCTTCATTCCCCATCTTCACATACACACATATAAATTTTTGATTCATAGTCATGATAAGCATTTAAAAAATATTTTTATTGATTTCAGAGAGGAAGGGAGAGAGAGAGAGAGAGAGAGAGAGAGAGAGAGAGCGAGAGAGAGAGAGACATACCAAAGATGAGAAAGAATCATTGATTGGCTGCCTCCTATAGGCCCCACACTGGGGATGGAGCCTGCAACCTGGGGGCATGTACCCTAACTAGGAATCGAACTGTGACCTCCTGATTCATAGGTTAACACTCAACCACTGAGCCATGATGGCTGGGCCATGATAAGCATTTTAAGTCTTATATTTGCAATACAGATATTGAAGTCTTCATATTAATGTAAGCAAATGATATGTCAGACCATAGGTTTTTAGATATATCATACAGGGTTTTGTTGTTTTTTTAATAGGACCCAAGTAGATTCAGTACTATGCATTTGAGTGCACCTTTGAATGAAAATTGGGTGGGTTTGTTTTGAGTTTCTATCAGTGTTACTGATTTTTAATTAGTTACATGGGCTTGGTCACATGCTAAGTATGCTTATTTGATTGCTTTGGTCTCTTCGTTCCAGAATGGGATATAGGAGCTTATTAATGGAATCTCGAATCAACTCATAGTATGGATATAGGAAACAGGACAGTATAGAGAGAAAAAAATGGGTAACTAGATATTTTCTATGAAAAGCTCAAATTGACTTAGTGTAGGAAGAGTGAGCCATTAATTTCCATAATAAATCTTAGGTTAAATGCAGGGTCAAAGAAAATGTGGGGTCTTCCTCCAAGCCAAGTTTGAGGTCAGTAGCAAGTTGAGATTGTAGCATTTTTTTTCAGTTTATGTATGTGGACATAAGCAGAAGCAGGACTTACATTTGACTCAAGGGAAATGGTAAAGAAATGAAATGAACAACCCTGGCTGGGTAGCTCAGTTGGTTAGATTGTATCATCCCGATACACTAGGGTTTTGAGTTCATTCTCTCTCTCTCTCTCCCCACCCCCCCCCACTCTTCCTCTCCCTCTCTGTTTCTCCCTTCCTTCCTCCCTCTCTCATATTAATAATTTAAAAAAATGAAATGACCAGAAAGACCACAACAGTCTATAAAACAGAAAAAAGAAAAAAAGATCTTTTTTATCATTGTTGCCCTCTATCCTACCTCTATTTTGCTTAAAGGGTTATAAGGACTGATTAACAGTTGCACAAGCAACATTGGTCTGGTCATTTTGAATGCTTGAAGTTCTTATACACATGACTTTTTAGCTAGACTCTTTGATAGAGCTATTAAAAGATAGTATTGACTGACAATAAGATGGCAGCGTAGGTAAACGCCTGTAGTCTCCACCTCCCACAACCACATCAAAATTACAACTAAAATACAGAATAACCATCATCCAGAACCACTGGAAAACTTGTTGAATGGAAGTTCTACGACTAGAGAAGTAAAGAAGAAAGCACACTGAGACTGATAGGAGGTGCAGAGGCATGGAATGGGCTGGTGGGGCACCCACATGTGCCACTTCTTTAATCTGTGGAGGCCGCCCAGAAGATCAAGGGATCCCAGCCCCACACCAGACCCACAGCCCAGGGTCCCAGAGCTGGGAAAAGAAATCCCTATGGGCAGTAAGAACTACAGCTGTAAAAACCAGTGTGGATTGGGGCTCAGTGACACAGAGGCTGCTGGAGACCCAGCTGTTCCTCTTAAAAGTCCAGCACCACGAACTGAATTTACAAGGTCCCGCTTCCTCTGAGCTCTAGCACCAGAGTGAGGCTTTGAGGGACACAGACATATACGAGGAAGAACTGGATGGTCTCGCATGGGGCAGGAACTCGAGGGTGGCTTTCTCCCAGATGGAGGTGCTCACAGGGATCATTGTTCCTATGCTGGGACCTCCCCTGTCCCAGGGCTGACTGGCAGCCATTTTTGTTTGCTCCACCCTGGTGATTCACTAAGACCCCGCCTCATCCAATTTACAACCCCACCCAAGCTGTGTGCAGCGGCTATGAATGGCCTGTTCTTGCTCAGGCTAAAATCTCTCAAATAAACTGCAGCTGGGTCAAGGAGCCCCAAATCTATCAATAAAAGGCCCAAGACCTGGCACCAGCACCGGTCTGCCTTGCTTCATAGCTGGGCCTCATCTGGGCAGTTCCAAACTGGATACAAAGGAGGAATCTGCAAATCTCTCTGTATCTCCTGCTGGGTGGCCCCAGACAATGACTGACTTTGCACCTCCCTGGAGACCCAAGGGCCAGTGTACTATCCAGTGGTCAGTGTGAGACCATACCAGATTACAACTCTACACATCCATAAGTGACACACTCAAGGGGAAGACTCAGTGAGCACCAAAGCCCCATTGAAGCAAGTCCTGCTCCATTGAAGCAAGTCTCCTGCACAGCAGCTCTCCCACTGTAGTTGCAGCTAGTCTTCATAGCCAGTTGGCCTGGAGGTCAGTTCCTACCAGTGACAACAACAGCAGTCAAGTCTCAACTACAACAAGACTGTGCTCACAGCCCACAAAGGGGTGCACCTACAGCTCCCAGCTCAGGTGACTGGGGAGGCTGAGCCACTGGGCCCTATAGAGCACCTACTATACAAAGCCACTTTACCAACTCAAGGAGACTTAGCAGCTCTACCCAATACATAGAAACAAACACAGGGAAGCAGCCAAAATGCAGAGACAAAGAAACAAATGAGAGAAATGGAAGAAAGCAAACTATTGAATATGGAGTTTAAAACCACAGTTACAAGGTTACTCAAGAGTCTTCTAGAAATCTCCAGAAGAATGGAAAAGGACCAATCAGAAATTAAGCATACACTGACTGAAATAAAGAATGATATACAGGGATTCAGCTGTAGAGTAGAGGATTCTGAGAATCAAATCAACGATTTGAAATATGAGGAAGCAAGAAACACCCATCCAGAAGAGCAAAAGAAAAAAGAATCCAAAAATATGAAGATAGTGTAAGGAGTCTCTGGGACAACTTCAAGTTACCAGCATTCACATTATGGGGGTGCCAGAAGAAGAGAGAGAGCAAGATATTGAAAGCCTATCTGAAGAAGTAATGACAGAAAACTTCCCCTACCTGGTGAAAGAAATAGACTTACAAGTCCAGGAAGCACAGAGAGTCTCAAATAAGAGGAATCCAAAGAGGACCACATCATAATTAAAATGCCAAGGGCAAAAGACAAAGAGAGAATCTTAAAAGCAGCAAGAGAAATGCCCTTACAACTGTCAGGTGATTTCTCAATAGAAACTATGCAGGCCAGAAGGGAGTGGCAAGAAATATTCAAAGTGATGAATAACAAGGACCTACAAGCAAGAATACTCTACCCAGCAAAGCTATAATTTAGAATTGAAGGTCAGATAAAGAGCTTCACAGATAAGAAAAAGCTAAAGGAGTTCATCACCACCAAACCAATATTATATGAAAGGTTGAAGGGTATTCTTTAAGAAGAGAAAGAAGAAGAAAAAGAGAGTGTTCAAAAATATGAACAAAATGGCAACAATTACATAGCTATCAACAATTGAATATAAAAATCAAACTAATAAGAAATCTAATGAACAGAATAAACTGGTGAATAAAATAGGATCAGAGGCATGGAAATGGAACAGACTGATGATTCTCAGAAGTAAGGGGGGCAGGGGGTATGGGAAGAAATTAAACAAAGGTCTTATATACATGTATGCATTACCTATGGACACAGGCAGTAGGTTGGCAAAGGCATGGGGCTAGGTGGGAACCACGTGGAGGGGGGCATTGAGGGGAAAAAAGAGGGACATCTGTAATAATCTTAACAATAAAGATTTTTTTTAAAAAAAAGATGGTATTAATATTACACCCTGGCTGATGTTTCTCAGTGGTTAGAGCGCTGGCCTGCACACTGAAGGGTGGTGGGTTTTATTCCCAGTCAAGGGCACATACATGGGTTGGCAGGTTTGATCCCTGGCCCTGGTCCAGGCACATGCGGGAGACAACCAATCAATGTGCTCTTTCACAGCAGTCTCTCTCTCTCTCTCTCTCTCTCTCTCTCTCTCTCTCTCTCTCTCTCTGTCTTTCTCTCTGTCTCTCTCTTTCTGTTTCTCTCTGTGTCTCTTTCTCCTCTCTTCCCACTCTCTCTAAAAATCAATGGAAAAAATATCCTGAGGTGAGGATTAACAACAAAAAGATAGTATTGTTTGTTATAATAGCAGCTAGCATAATGTAGTGCCTACTATTTCTTAGGCAGGTCCTATTATTTTTATTCTAGTTTTACAGGTGATGCCTAAAGAAAGTATTCAGTCCTTAAGACTCTAGTTCCATAATTTTTGCTTTTAATCAAAAGCTTAGCTGGGATTGGTCTCTTAACAGTCCAGTGTTCTTTTAACTAGCTCATGCCAAGTTAGTATTTTTATCTCTTGCAAATGGCTATATGTGTTGGGGGGTGGGGGCGAAGGATTGCATGTAGTTGATGTGTTCTGTACTTTAAAAAGCAAAGCACCACTTGCTCTGTGGATCATTAAACAGAAGACTGGTGCCGGCTGGTGTGGTTCAGTGGTTGAGCATTGACCTATGAGCCAGCAGGTCACGGTTCGATTCCTGGTCAGGGAACATGCCAGGTTGCAGGCTCGATCCCCAGTGTGGGGCATGCAGGAGGCATCTGATTAACGATTCTCTCTCATCATTGATGTTTCTGTCTTTCTCTCTCTCTTCCTTCCTCTCTGCAATCAATGAAAAAGTATATATCTATTTAAAAAGAGAAAACAACCAGAAGATTGGTTAAGTTGTTTTTGAAGAAGACATTTATTCTGTTATTGTGAACTGAAATTATTCTTACCTTTTCTAGAAGTCTAGATTAGACATGGGAGAGCCACAAGAAATGTCTTACCTAAAAACATCTATAAAATAAAACCTTAGAGTTCATGGAAATGTGTTCATAACTACTTGGGGTGGGTGATTCTCA